CGCTCCTCCAAAATTTTCATTTACCAATTCTTATAGAAGAAATTTCCCCAATAAATGCAACAATTAATATAAAATTATAAGAAAACAAGCATACAATAATTATGAAACAAACAAAGGCAAATAGCAAATTATTATGGAAATCAGAGAGAAAATATGCAGTTTAATATTTAATATGCTAAATGTCAAATAACAATTAAGGCACATAATTCAAATAGCATGTAACAATTAATGCAGGAATTCAAGAATTAATATTTGACAAAGAATAGGAGAGAAACAATTATTATAATAATTAATTCATGATTTAAACAATTTATGATTTTTCAAGTAAGCAGACAAATAATTAATTTGACATCGTATAGACACTCGTCACCTCGCCTATACGTCGTTCACATGCATTTCACATAACAAATAATTTAAGGGTTCTATTCCCTCAAGTCAAGGTTAACCACGACACTTACCTTGCTTTGCAAATTCCAATCATTTACTCGACCACAGCTTTTCCTTTTAAATTTGTCTCCAAAAGGTTCAAAACTATTCACAAACAATTCGATATACTCAATACGAATCATAGGAATTAATTCCATATGAATTTACAAATTTTTCGGATAAAAATCCAAAATTCATTAAAATATTCGGCAGTGGGACCCACGTCTCAAATCCTGAAAAAACTTACGAAATCTGACCACCCATTCCGAGACAAGTCCAACCATAAAAAAATTATCCAATTCCGATGTCAAATGGACCTTCAAATCTTAAAATTTCATTTTTGGAAGATTTTATAAAAATATGATTTTTCTTCCATAAATTCACGGATTCATGATATAAATGAGTATGAAATCATGAAATATAATCAATATAGGATAAGGAACACTTATCCTAATATTTTCCCGTGAAAATCACCCAAAAATCGCCTTACCGAGCTCAAAAATGGAAGAGGGTTGAAAATGGGACGAATCCCATTTTCCAGAACTTAAGTTCTGTTTCTGGGACTTTTACCCTTTGCGAACGCGGTCAGTGCTGCGCGTTCGCGAAGAACAAATTTGTGCTCTCCCATTTTACACTTCGCGAACGCGAGGGCTACTTCGCGAACGCGAAGCTTGCCTAGTTTGGCCTTCGTGAACGTGAAGGCTATAATCCTGGCTAGCCTCTTTCCCTTCGCGAATGCGAGGCTTCGGTCGCGAACGCGAAGCACAAAATATGCCAGCCCCAATTTGCTCTTCGTGTTCGCGAGAGTACCTTCGCGAACGCGAAGCACAAAATATGCCAGCCCCAATTTGCTCTTCGTGTTCGCGAGAGTACCTTCGCGAACGCGAAGAAGAACACACCAGAAGTCTGAAGTCTGCAGAAAAGCAGATTTCCTAAGTCCGAAAATGATCCGTTAATTACCCGAAACCAACCCGAGCCCTTGGGGCTCCAAACCAAACATGCGCCTAAGTCCTAAAATATCATACGAACTTGCTCGCGCGATCAAATTACCAAAATAACACCAAGAACTACGAATCGGGCACCAAATCAAAGAAAATTTCCAAGAAAACTTTAAAACTTATATTTTTACAACCAGACGTCCGAATAACGTCAAATCGACTCCGATTCTCACCAAATTCGGCAGACAAGTCATAAATATTATAGTGGACCTACACCGGGCTCCGAAACCAAAATACGGACCCGAGGTTAATAAATTCAATATCACTATTTTCTTAAAAATCATTAAGCTTTCAAGCTTTTAATTTTTCATCAAAATTCCATATCTCGAGCTAGGGACCTCGGAATTCGATTCCGGGCATACGCCCAAATCTCAAATCATGATACGGACCTACCGAAATTGTCAAAATACTGATCCGGGTCTGTTTGCTCAAAATGTTGACTAAAGTCAACTCAGTTGAGTTTTTAAAGCTCTATTTCACATTTTAATCTATTTTTCACATAAAACTTTTCGAAAAATTGCACGGACTGCGCACGTAAGTCGAAAAATAATAAATAGTGCTTTTTAAGATCCTAGAATACATAATTACTTGTTAAATTTAAAGATAATATTTTGGGTCATCACAGGGTACCCCAAGAAAAGGCTATGTATAGCTCTAGCATGGAACTTATCCCTTCCAATCTTGGGGGAAGTTGCAAAACATAAACAATCAAAATATTTCAAATGAGTATAAGAAGGTAAATGTCCATGTAATTTTTCAAAAGGAAAAATATTGTTTAAGACAGTTAAAGGCATTCTATTAATTAAGTAGGTAGCAGTTAGGACACATTCACCCCTGAATTTGAGAGGGAGTTTAGATTAAAAAAGAAGGGCTCTAGAAACTTCCAAAAAATATTTATGTTTTCTTTCCACAACTCCATTTTTTTTGTGGTGTGTGTGGAATGGTTGTTTGGTGTAGAATACCTTGACTGGTAAAGAAAGTAACAACCTCAGAACTGCTGCCAAGCTCATAGGAATTATCAGACCTGGAAGTTTGGACTGAGGATTGGAAGTGTGTTTTGACCATGGAGGTAAAGGCTTGTAGTACAGAAAGAGCATTGCCTTTGCAAGATAAAAGATGGGTCCAGGTAGCTCTGCTATAGTCATCAACTAAGGTCAAGAAGTATCTAAAACCATTATGTTTTCTAGTATTGTTAGGTCCCCAAACATAAATGTGAACTAACTGAAAGAGAGCAGTGGAATAAATATGGCTATCATAAAAAGGTAACCTTTGTTTCCTAGCCATTGGACAAATAGAGAATATAAATGACTGTTTGGAAGAGACTTTATCAGATAAAAAGGGAATAGATGTCATTCTATGAAAAGGCATATGTCCTAGCCTTTGATGCCAAAACAAATCCATTTTATTTATAGTAGGTGTTTGATTACATGGTAGAGTATTTATAGAAATTGGAAGATAATCAGACTTATTGCAAGAAACAGAATTTGAAAAAGAAGAAGAAACATGTTGAGATTAAAACAAGTCAGCATCAGAATGTAGATAGTACAATCTCCTAGCAGCCTTACCAATTACTAGTGGCTTCTTCAGAGAAGGGCTCTGTAAAGAACAATTAAATTTGGTAAGAATAGCTATGCAATCCAACTGAGATATTAATTGATGTATAAAGATTAGGTTAAAATGAAAGGAAGGTACACGAAGGACATTAAGTACGGTTATGTCATGCCTGAGATATAAAGAACCAGTTGACAAAACCTTAACTTTATATCCATTAGGTAGAGTAACAAGGAAGGGTTTAGGCAAAGGTACAAGGTTGTGAAGTAAGTATTTGTGTGGAGTCATGTGATTTGTTGCCCCTGAGTCTAATATCCAAGGATTTACACCTAATTGAGAAGATGTGCATATGTGAGAGGTAGTAGAATCTACAGTATAAGCAGTGAACAAACCTGCAAAATGTGCAAATCCAGATTCCTCAACATGGAAATTATCAGAACCAACACTAGGGGACACCTGGACTTGTTGAAATAAAGTCATCAGGTGATGATACTGCTCCTTGGTGAAACCATGAGCAGAGTTCTTAGCAAAGTTCTCCACTGTGTATCCAGCTTTCTTGCAATATTTGCAAGAAACAAAAGAATTATTCTTTCTCGAGTCAAAATTGATCCTTTGATTGAAATTTCTGTTTGGTGTGGCTGAAGATAGAGAGAAAGAGGCAGATTCATTGGAAAAGTTTGGAATTGAGGTTTGAGTTTCTCTTTGACTTTCATCTTGTTGCAGAAGAGAATAAGCTTTGGTTATTGGTGGCAAAGGATTCATGAGCATGATAGCACTCTTTACAATTGAATAAGAATCATTTAGTCCATTTTGAAATTGTAATAGTTGTTGGTCTTCTATAAACTTGGGAAGAGCTCCACAAGAACATATGGGGCCTACATATGAAGAATTCAATTCATTCTAAAAACTCCTAAATTTGATGAAATAAGTGGCAATATCAGATGAGCCTTGGACAATTGAACTGATTTCTCTCTGAATTTGAAGATACTTAGACCTATTGGACTGCCCAAACCTTTCATTAATGTTAGTCCAAACCTCCTTTGCAGTCTTAAAACACATGACACTTGTGGCTATGTCTCTAGAAACATAATTGATGATCCAAGACTTGACCATGTCATTACATCTCTCCCAATAGGAATAATAAGGAGAGTTGATAGGAGGTTGAGAAATTCTCCCATCTAATAGTCTTAATTTGTTTTTAGCAGAAAGAGAAGTAAGCATGCTACTTCTCCATAATACAAAACCATGTCCATTGAATGGGACAGGTACTACTTGGCTACCCGAATTGTCTGACGGGTGTACATAGAAAGGGTGAGAGGGATCTAGCGCGAAGGGAGTGAAACCCTCAGCAGTGGGAATTGGGTGAGGAGTGAGGTTATCTACATGGCTGTCCATATTACCTCCTAACACAACCTGAAATCATACAGTAACAAACAACATGCTCAAACTACAGTAATAGACAACAACTCAAACTCAATAACATGCAAATTGTTGCATACATGAATTTTACACAACATAACCTAAAATCACATCAGTATAGACTTTAGAGTTGTAGATTAGGGTCTATATTACCATCCTTCTTCTCAAAACCCGAAGAAGTAAGGTCTTCGTGCACAGCTCAAACCCTAGTTTGAATTTAGCCCCAAATCCGTCTAATCCATCATAAAACCAGGAGTTACTGTCGATGTAGGTGATGTAGAGGGAGATTCTAGTGAAAACCCCAAATTTTTATCCCGCAGTAACAGATTCAATAACTGTTCGAACTTTAACAAAACAAAAACGATTCTGGTAAATTCTTCAATCGATTTACCGTTGAAGATGAAGCTCTCGTAACGAGGAATCAGAATCCCCGCTCTGATACCATGTTCGAATAAACCTGAATGAGCTATGGTGGAGTTATTTAGGAGAAAACCCTAGAAGGGTCGAGAGAGAAGAGAGAGAGAAGTAGGAGATGACTTTTTAGAATATAACCCTCTGAATCTTTATTTTTCACTTCAGGAGTCTTTTATATTTACAAGGAAAAAATAGAAAAATACATCAATGTATTAATGTTCATTACAAAGAGAAATTGGGCCAGGTCAGCTGTTGGGCCAGTTGTGTGCAGATTGGCTCTAACAATTAAAAAAAAAGAAAGAAATCATCTTTTTCCAATGTTGCTGATATTACATCTCAAACTTACAAAATTTAAATTTTAACTAATGACCAAATCTCGTATAACTAACAAGAAATTATAGCATTTCCTCTAAGCTTTTGAGCGGCGGTTGGTTGGTGGAAGAATGATAATGTTGCAGCAATGGACTCTTATTGGTGTCAAGATAATAAAGAAGAAAAACCATCCCAATTGAAGTAACAAACATTGGAATTGGACCAAAAAACCACAGCAACAAAGTGATGGCAAAATAAAGAGCTCTAAGCCCAATAGACCAAAAGTCACCTCCCCTTATCACAGCCAATTCCACATAGCTTGCAGGAACTTCACTATTTGGTATACTAATTAGGTAATTTGCATGGATGAAACATCTTGATGATTGAACAAAGCAAGAAAATGCCACCAAGAAAAATATAATAAGGCTTATGTACTTAATGGAGATGGTTACTGGCCTTGTATCACCATATATTAATTCACTCCTAAATAAAGTTGAACTATTTGCCATCCATGCTCCGATGAGAGAGCTCAGAGTTAAACAGACAGTTGCCAAGAATGTTGCTCCTGAGTTGTTTGATGCTAGAACATCTAATGCGGTTGTAACATCCCGATTTTCAGTCTGCCAAGAGAAAAAAATTATCAATAGATCATAGTGTGTTTGATGTGACTGAAGTCATTTTCACAAAAAAATATTTTCCTACAAAGTGTTTTTTGGTAATTGGCTGGTGAGTCAAAAACTACTTTTGAAAGATTTATATAAACGTAATGATAATATTGGGAAGTATCGAAAAAAGAAATTGCATGTGTCGAATGGATCTGGCTGTAACTATAACGTCCAAAGGTTGCGAAAAATAAATTCCGCTCATAACTAAGGAAATTCATTTCCCCCTTTGTTAGAAAGATATTTTTCAAGGAAAATATTTTTTGTTGATCGACACCGAAAAAGGACTTCCTCACAAAAATGTTTTTCTTTTCTTCAAAAAAAAGAATTTTTGTCATACCAAAAAACACCTAGAACTTTGAAAAATTTCAAAAAATGTTTAATGGGCCAATAGAAGAAGCTGATTTAGTACTTACCTGCATGATTTTTTTAACCCAAGCTATTTTATCATTGTTCTCAAAGCCAATGACTGTGGTATGAGGATTTTTAATGTATCTCTGGAGAAGAAAGAGATGATAAGCAAACATGATGAGCAATCCACTAGGCACCAAGTATAGATCAAGGTGCTCTTTCTGGAATACCATTTTTTTCCTCCTACGTTTGTTCTTTGTTCGCAAAATTGCGAGAGTGGAAGTAGTTCAATGGTTTTTTGCATATTAAATTGGCAAAAAATTTTGTGTTGCTTGAAAGGAACTATATCAGAGTTTGCTATTTGTTCAATTGAAGCAAACCTCTGACTTAACGTATTGTAAAAGAAAACTTGCCGATATAGGCCTCTTACTTAAGGTATTATCCACATCCCATGGACTTGTTAATTAGATAATCTTACAAGCAACATTCATAAATAACTATATTGACCTATAATAATTTGATTTAATTACAGCCCTTGATGTGAAGGCTTGAAATGTTATTGTAATAAACTTATTTACAATTACAAGGAAATGCCAAAATTAGCTTTTACCATTTTACATTTTTGTACAATTCCTTTTGTTCCAAAGTTCACTTACAATAATAATTTATATTACATTAATAGACCATTGAATATAACTCATTGTACTCCCTCAGCAAGATCTTGTACTAGCCAGGGTGAAATTTGGCCTAAAAAAGATGGTCGATGTCACGAGTTGCAATGCTAGTACCTTTTCCTTTTGCATAAGATCGATGATTGTGCAATTGCTTTGTGTTTTTGTCAAGGGAATGGAGGAGGAAAACCATACCAACTGAAGTTGTAAACATGGGAATTGGACCAAAAAACCATAGTAGCAAAGTGGTTGCAAAATAAAGTGCTCTAAGCCCAAGTGACCAAAACTCACCTCCTCTTATCACTGCCAATTCAACATAACTAATTGGTATATCAGTTTCTGGTGTAGTAATTAAGTAATTTGCATGAATGAAGCATCTGGATGATTGCACAAAACATGCAAAAGCAACTAAAAAGAAGATTAATAGACTTATGAATTTAATGCACATAGTTTCTGGCCTTGTGTCACCATATATTAATTCACTGCTGAAAACACTATTATTAGCCATCCAGGCACCAATAAGAGAGGCCAAAGTTAATGAAACTGATGCCAAGAATGTTGCTCCATTGTTATTGGATCCTATAACATTTAGAGCTGTATTTATAGTGTTGCTATCTCCAGCCTGCAAGATTAAGCAGAAATTAGAAAATTCCTAAAGTTCCCTTTTTTTTAATGTGAAAATGTGGAAAATTGAGGCATATAGGCACACACGGCATGCGTACATAATGACACCCCTTATAAAAGAGTGTTATCTGGCACCCCTTCGCAAAAAAATAAATGATGTAATACTTTTCTAAAACCAACATGTATATATACAATTTATGGATACTACTAGAAAATAGTACAAAGTAAAATGCAATTTAGAACATAAAATAAAGCCTTGAAACTGCCACATCCTAGATTCAAAAGCATTTATTCAGTCGAATTGTACTAATGATTAACACTGCTTACAAAATTTAGTAAGGGGTGTCACAAAATTTTCTTTCTATATACTCTCTGGTCAACTTTAATTGATTTTTTGGCTGTTTTAACACATATTAAGAAATTCATATTTTTGTATTAATTAACAATAAAATTGACTATATTAACCTTAATTTGTTCATTGAAAATATAATAAATACTCCTAGACTCTTTACTCCATGGATAACTTTGAAAAAAAGAGGTTAATTCTTTCTTGATAGCTGAAAAAATCAAATATGTGGACCACAAAAAAAAAAGTCAAAAATTAATTAAAGTGGATCGGAGTGAGTACTTACATAAATTTAAAAATTTTCTAAAAATCAATATGTATATACAAAATCCACGACTGTATACATATACGAGATTACCTGCATAATCCTTTCAATCCAAGCTCTCTTGTCATTGTTTTCAAAACCCATGATTGTGGTATGAGGAATGTTGAGGTATCTATAGAGCAAGTAGAGATGGTAAATGAACATGATGCACAGCCCACTTGGGACCAACAACAAATCAAGGTACTCTTTTTGGAAAACCATTCCGCCGACTCTTCTATTTTCTGAGAGGAGAGTAGTGAAGAAGAAGAGTTCCAAGGTTTCAATATTCATAATTATATTCTCGACGGTTAGAAGGAATTAAATGGCATCTTTTATCTTTTTTTAATTTATGCGTTGCCTACTTTACGTAGATGCGTAGCAAAAACTAACTTGTATGAATATTTCAACATTCTTATCAGAATGTGCAGAAGTTTGATAAGAAACCTACCTAGCTAGTTGTTATATGTTTTTTATTTGTCTCCACGTGATTATATATATTTCTTCTCTTCATGGTCATCGTCATCAGCTGAACATTGTGATGGCTTTCATTATAATATTTTCGCAAACTGATTGACCCTTCAGAGTTTGATTCTTGTACAGAATTAAATAAATTTTAACTTATATATATTTACGATATAAAAGAGTTTTTATATTATCAAAGTATTTTAACATGTTGTAAAAAGTTATTATTCCTATTTTAATTGTCAGTGTATAAAAATCAAATTCAATTACAAGTATACAGGTCCTTCAAAACGGCAAGATATATATGAATATATTTTGTGCCTGTTGGATATAGTGGTGGTAATACTTTATTTTATGTTCAATTTTGGGCAGTTTAAAATGGAATTTTGAAATAATTTCCTTGTACTTTACAAGTTTAACTACTTGTTGTGCGGTAGACTTTTGATTCTTGATCGTAAAGCATGGAGGCATGGTTGTATGAGTACTGAGCTCGCAATTGAGTCGTCCGAAGAAATATTGAAACCAGGCTGTCGAGGCTCAACTTGTTATATATAGTCAATGTGCATTTGTGGTGGTAGGATGAAGTAGCTGTTTCTTCAATTTACTGCGATCCGATATTTGAATGTTGGCAAACAATGACGTCCTTTTTTGGTTTCTCAGCCAGTGTATGGCACCATTGAGACCCGACTAATTAGAATTCACAATACGTAATATCATAATGTCTAAACAGGTACAATTGCAGTGATATTTGGCTTTAAGAGTATATATATATATTTATATGTATATTGCCTCATGTTTTACTCATGTTTCGTAGATTTCGGATGTAAAATGTATTGATTTATGTTAATTCGTGGCATTTCTATACGTAGGAATCATCTGGAGGCAATAGGGGGCGAAAGGTGCGAGATTAGAGCCAAAAACGGAGAAAAAAAGGAAAATGTTGAATTCCAGCGCCACAGGCAGCGCCCCACGCCACTTGTGGCGCCGTTTACAGAATGCTCAATTTGCCAGCGCCAGCGCCCCACGCTACCCTGGGCGCTGGTGACAGGAAACATCTCATACTTCGCCCGGGATAAAGTTATTTCCGCCCAAGACCCCCCACTCGTATAAAAGCAAGTCTAAACCTAATTTGGAGGGTATCGATCTAACATATTTTTGAGGAAGAACACGTCACTTTGGAGGAGGAGAACATAAATCACGCTTGGAGCAAGGATTCCCAGTTTTTCTTTTCTTCCCTTCCTTTAATCTCATAGTTTATTAGTTCTAGAGTTTTGGGTGCTACATGAACGTTGTAGTTTGAAACTTGAATTGTTCTTATTATTTTATCATATTGGTTTATTTATTCAATCTTGCGCTTAATTATTTGATTGATTGATCAACAATTAAATACTATCTATGAATATAGGTTTAATCACCAATTCAATCTTGAACTCGAGGCCGTGATGGTGCCCAACATTACCGCTAGACAAGCCAACAGTGAATTAAACCCTGTTATTTCTCTTTTAATGAGTTTTCAAGTAATCAAATTCCATTAATTAAAAGGTTAAGAAACAATAAATTTTTAAATAAATAGACGAAAGCAGCTGAGTGCAATCATAATAATAGAATAATCCAAAACCATATGTCTGCTAGTGTGCGTGCCTAGACCTGGTGTCACAAGCGTATGAGAACTAATAGATTATACAAAACTCTAGCTACTGTCTGAAATGAAAATAGATAGATATGAATGCAAAGGAGAGACTCTAGGTGCTGCGGAACGACTCAGGAAGCAACTCACCACTAGGCCTCGGGATATCTGGGATGCGCGCCGGTAGGACCGCCAGATGCACCTGCCTCAAATCCTGCACGATTAGTGCAGAAGTGTAGCGTGAGTATATAAACAACATGTACCAGTAAGTATATAGTTTAACCTCAAAGAAGTAGTAACGAGGGGTCGACTTCGACACTTACTATGGGCTAACAATATGAATATAGAAATTCTAAATAAGCATGAGTTATGTAAATTATAATAACAATTTATTAACAAGCAGGAGCAAATAATTCTTTCACAAATTAATAAATTCCAAAAAAATTACCGTCATTAATAAGTGTAACCCCATAAGCCACAAAATAATATCAAATCTAATTACGCTCCGAGTATTATTAAGCACGATTAATGTCGAGGTCGTACAACTCGATCCTGAATAACGTGCACACTGCCGAGGGACGTGCAAAACGATCCATAGATGCATCTATCTACTGTCGAGGCGTTCGACCCGCTCCACAAGAATAGAGGATACTTTATAAGCATTTGACTTAAACGTTATAACAAGGCTAATACACGATGTAATAAAATTTCCATTAATGGTTAAGTAATACGATAAAAATTCAAGTAAGTGAAATTCGGTCTTTTACAATTCCTTTAATAACTTCTAATATAATTTAGGGGTGCAAACATTACAAATAATTCATGATTTGGGTCCTAAACTACCCGGATATAAGCATGAATAGTAGCTACGCACGGACTCTTGTCACCTCGTGCGTACGTGGCCCCCACAATTAGAAGCAAATATTAATTTAAATCACCTATGGGGAAAATTTCCTCTTACAAGGTTAGACAAGAGACTTACCTCGTCTCAAGGCTCACCTTTCGGTCACAATTTCGTTCTAAAGCCTCAACTCGGTGCCGAACAATCCAAAACTAGTCAAATATTATATAAATTAATCAATACATGTTCAAAAGTTCATATTCTAACTATTAGAGTGATTGCCCTACCCCAATTGAAGGATTCCTAAAATTCATCCCCAGGCCCACGTGCCCGGATTCCAGAATTTTTTCGAAGAAAGTTATTACCCATGACCTCACGAACTCAAATATATAATTTTCACTCAATTCCATAACCATTTTCGTGGGTAAGTCCCATTTTTTTCAAACCTAGGGCTATTCATCTAAACCCCTGATTTTCATAATTTTACATGTTAAAATTTACCCACAATCTATATTTTAAACTCATATTGTATAGAAATCACTTACCTCAAAGTGCTAGGTGAAAACCCATCTCCAAAATCTCCCAATGAATGAAGGAAATGAGCCAAAAATTGTTTAACTCCCGACTTAAATGAACCCTTCTGCCGAGCGGTATTTCCGCACCTGCGGGAGGACTTCCGCTTGTACGGAACACGCTTGACCACTAGCCCACCGCCTCTGCGGCCAAGTCCTGCATCTGCGAGCCTGCTTCTGCGGCTCGATTCGCGCATCTGCGACCATGGCTAGGATGCCTTCCTCCGCATCTGCGGATAACTGGCCCGCTTCTGTGGGTCCTCTTATGCGACGCGATGCTCGCTCTTGCGGCATTGGCCGCTCCTGCGAATTCTTCCATAGCACCTGCGCGCTCGCAGGTGCGCACCATGCTCCAAATTTGCGATCCCTGGGCAGCTCACACTGGGCCGCTTCTGCGGTTGTTGGCTCACTTTTGCGAGCTCGCACCTGCGGCTGGCCCTCCGCAGGTGCGATTGCACCAGAAGCTGGGTGCTTCAGCTATGCACCCAAGGCCAAACGACCTCCACTCTTCGTCTGAATGGCATCCGGGGCCCCTCCTAAACATACCAACAAGTTTGAAATCATAAAACGGACTCGCTTGCACCCTCGGAACGCGAAAAACAACATTAAAACTAAGAATCGCAACCCAAAACCAATAGGATCAATAACCGATCCGAATATACGCCCAAGTCCAAAATCATCGTCTTTGTACGCCCAAGTCCGAGACGATGATTGATCCCTAAAAACTAGATAAATTGATTAGACAATTTAAGAGGAAAACTCAACGGGATTGTTAGCTAACTTATAGCTCTAGAATATCGTCTCTCATTGAATTCGTCTCTAATTTTGCCCACTTGTTTTATGTAATTTCTTAATTTTCGACTCTAGATTAGTTGTAGTTAATAATATTTGAAAAATCGCTTGAATATGTTAATTGTCATAGTTTAATTTAGCTGATAGTTAATCACAAGTTCCTGTGGGTATGATATCTGGACTTACAATCTTATATTACTTGTACGATCACGTATACTTGCGTGTGCGTTTGAGAGCAACATGCAACATCAGCGTAAACTAAGCAATTTGATTAGGTGATAAATCGATCCTTCACAAAATTGGGCTAGGTAGAAACAAAAATAAAACTGTATATACTACGAGGGCAAGTAATAAGGCCTAGATACCAAAGGAGTGATTTGTTGGTGAAAAACTTTTATTCTTTGTCTCTTGAAATTTGATGGTTCTCTCAGAGGAATTACAAATAGGATACTGCACAGTGCTTAAGAAAACAGAGAAATGGCCCCATTATTATTATATATGTAAGCAGGGAAGTCATTATTTATTTATCAGAGCACAACATGAACATCATCTCTCTTAATTAAGAAACAGAAAACCCCATATATATATTCAAGGGAAAACTTCAATAAGAGACCTAAGGCCAAAGATTGGTCTAATATTGTAACGTGTAAAGCCAGCTTTAAGGAATAGTTTTTCCCATTCTTTCTCAGTCCTTTCTTTTCCAGTGAAAAACATTACCATCAACATGTCTTTCATGAGCTTTACTTGAGTCATGTCTGGTTCATCTTCGTTTGTGTCTAATACTATGTCAATGATAAGGACCTTCTTCCCTTTTCTCCCCTCTTCAAAGTTTTCTGCAATAGCTTCTCTGCATTTCTTCAGAACCTTGACACAATCCTCATCGCTCCAGCTATGCAATATATTCTGCAAAAGCAATTAATACTAATTACTATATGTGACATCATCGTAACGAATCTTAATTTAATTTGCACAAGTGGTATGCCAACTTCAAAGATGGTTAATCAGATATATCAAACAGACGTAACACAAAAGTTTACAGTTAATAAGTACGGAGCAATACAAACAGAATCTAGAAGATTAAGTCCATGTGAGAAATTTGGAGTTAATTCCTTGGATAGTACGCAGAATTAACTCAGTAAAGTTATATTTGTTTTATTTAGGACAATAAAAACATCTAACTTTAGCTTTGTCACATAACTCTAGCCACAAAATCCTATTTCTTAAATCATAAGACCCATTTAATCTGACCCGAAGCAAAATGGGTCTATTTTAAAATAAATGAAACCAATCAAAACTTGTTCAAGTTTTGTTTCAGTCGTCTGCCCTTGCTCTCCCTTCGTTCCTTCTTTCCCTTTCTAGGTAGAAATCATTTTTGTGTGGACTTCTAGTTTTGAATTTAAGTTATATTGAAAATTTTGATTGATTGTTCTTCTGTGTTAAGACATTGATTAATCCACCTACTTGTTTTGTATTGCTCTGATGTGTTATTTCTTGGTAAGGTAGCAAGTGAAGTAGCTTTCTGTTTGTCAGTGATGTTGTTTTAATCTCCATTTGTGAGTTGAATCACCCAATCAATTTCAAAATTTATGATCAATATATCCAAGGGGTGAAGCAGCAGGCTCTGTCTGTTTCGTTAATTTTCGTGTTGAAAAAGAATAGTAATCTGACATAGCTGCCATGTAATAATCCGATAAGAGAAATAAGCTTTTCTAGCTAGAGTTATTGTCTAAGAGACAAACCTAAAAGTTAAATAATTTTATGGTCCTAAACAAAACAAAAATGACTTTGACGAATTGTTTCTATAACTTGGATGATCATCTAGGAATTAACTCGAGAAATTTGTAGTTAGAAGGTTGTGCCACGGATAGAGTATAATAATTGGAGAAAAGATTCTCAAGCTCTAAAAGCTGAACAAATTGTTCTTGACTATCTGTATAGGATTAAACTTAAATGCACTATTTTTGCACGATTGTGTATTTAACCTGATTTATTCTTGAGGTTACTAATTCCACTTTTATTACTGATAGTTACGTAAAGCTATCTTTTAGGTGAACTGTCAAGCATACGTATAAGTTAAACATATGTCAAGAATAAAATTCTTGTGCATACCTTAAACAAAATGGCATCAGCGTGAGGAATAGATTGAAACATATCCCCTCCAACATAGCTTAAATTCTCACTTTGTGGCATGTTGGCAACAACATAAGGAAGATCAAGAACAGTGCATTTCAAGTGAGGAAAAACCTCCAAGATTGTCTTAGCTATAATCCCAATGCCCCCTCCAACATCAACCAATGAGTTCATCCCCTCAAAAACTTCTTTACAATCCTTGACAACTAATCTCATCATTTGGGAATCACTAGCCGTTCCTTCATTGAAATCTTTGTCGAATCTTGGATTTTGTGCACAAAATTCCCACATAGGTACCCCATGGGCTGTCTCAAATGCTGTGGCCTCTTCATTCTTATTGTGAAACCATTCAAGCATTAGTTGCCAAGGAGTGACAACGATAGGATCAATCATTACTCTAACGCAAGGTGACAAGTTTGGGAATTCAGTCTTAAGAAGCAGCCTTGAAGGAGTTGTCAAAATATATCCATCTGTCTCTGAGTTTTCGTCGATCTTTGCTGTAGCAAAGAATCCAGAGTGCACCAACAGGCACATTAGCCGATGAATGCCAATTGATTTTGATGAGGGAAGTTTGAGTGCCGAAACAAGTTCAGGAAGAGTGATTGGTTTTTTGTGGTTATGTACAATATCTGGTATGCCTAGTTGAATGGCACAATTCAAGGCCATGGAATTTGCATAAGCGAATGCATGTTTGTAGATGTGAACCTGTGCTTTGAACAATTCACTGGCTGCTTCAACATTATCAGTTTCCATTAGCTCAGGAGTCAGGAAGTTCTCCAACCTTGATGCTGAAACTAGGCTAGTGATGAGCTATCTTTATGTTTGAAACTGATGGGATGAGAGCTTTACAACAAACTGTCCATTTATAAAAAAGTTAAAGGTTGGGTCGCCATGGGTAGTTTATTTGGGTGGGAGCTTTAAAAGTTTTAAATTATTTTTTAATTAGAAGAAGAATTTTCCCGGATCTCAACCAAGTTTTAAATAATTTCATGTGATAGTATTGTATACGGGTGAAACCGAGCTCATGATGCATCCTAACCTCCGACGAAAATAAACCAAAGCTCGAGACATAGCAATAAGGGGCCGAAATCGAGCCAAAGTCCCACCGGACTAGAACCCGGGGGCATGACGCCTGCCTTCGAGAATATCGAGGCCATGATCCCGGAATCGGTCCTAGCCTCGAGCGACTTTGAAGAACATTGTCAGACAATCCAGCATAGCCAACAGAAGGCCGAAATATTTGGGACCGGCCGAATATTACGGCAGAGATCTCGGCGCGTATCGATAAGGAGTCGGCAGTCAGTGAATCAGAAGTTTTTTTTTATCTTTTATAGAGTTGTACCTAAAATAGGACTCCCTACTATATGAAGAGGGTCTAATAATTCATTTGACACATTGTAATACACACACAAAAGTAATAGATTATTATTTTCTTTATCTTTAAGCTCTTGTTCTTCTGTTTATCGACACCGGTAGTGGTAAGCCCGGCTCGAGAAAAATTATTCTATCAAGGTTGAAATCATCCAACTCGTGTGGTTTGGACTTATCTTATCTTTATTTACTCAATAGCAACTTAATTTATCGCTTTGTGTTAAGTTAATCTGCATATCCTTAAAACCAGTTACAAATTTAATTGTTATCCAATTTTGAGGGAAAACAGTTTGGCGCCCACCGTGGGGCTAAGGATAATAGTGGCAATTTGATACAAATTCCCGTAACACACCTTATTTTACACTTGTTCTTTGAAGTGTCTTTGATTCCAGGTTAAAATCGAAATGTCAAACCCGCAGTCTGCTCCTCTAAACACGAATACGGAGTCCAGCCACCATGGAGAAAAAAACAATGCAGCACCCGGTAACGAGGTGCCCCCAGTCAATCTCGGTGGAGTCCTGGTGGCGGATCGCATCGACGCCAGTTCGTGTGTGGCCAACAACACAAATTTTCCTACCGATCCCAAGAACAGCGTACGCAGGGAAGTCTGATCAATTGCCCAGAATACACACGACGGTAAAAATGATGGGATCAACTTACGAGTAATCTTCAAAATGTTACAGGCTCAACAAGTGGCGATAGCCCAGTTGCAGAACGAAAGCCAAGCGCCAAGCAGGGTTTAGCCCGAGCCATCACGGGAAGTCACCCATAGAAATGGACCGATCGCGGAGAGGCCGAATGAAAATGAATTGAGGACTTACCCCGAGATCATAAAAATGCTCGAGGAATTGACAAAACGGATATAATCGGGGGAGAAAGAAATCGAAGCAAATGAATAAAAGGTGGAAACCTACAATTCCAGGGTCGATCAAATCCCAGGAGCACCTCCGATATTGAAGGTCCTGGATTCTAAGAAGTTTGTTCAAAAACCTTTTCCCCCGAGCGCAGCGCCGAAGCCGATCCCAAAAAAGTTTCGCATGCCCGAAATTCCTAAGTACAATGGAACGACCGACCCAAATGAGCATGTGACCTCCTATACATGCGCCATCAAAGGGAACGACTTGGAAGATGACAAGATCGAATCTGTCATGCTGAAAAAGTTTGGGGAAACTCTATCCAAGGGAGCTATGATATGGTATCACAATCTACCTCCTAATTCTATTGACTCGTTTGCTATGCTTGAAGATTCAATTGTAAAAGCACACGCCGAGGCTATCAAGGTCGAGACCAGAAAGCCAGACCTTTTCAAAGTGAAGTAGAGGGATAACGAGATGCTCAGGGAATTCGTGTCCCGATTCCAAATGTAACGGATGGACTTACCTCCGGTCGCGGATGATTGGGTCGTTCAGGCCTTCACCCAGGGACTCAATGCTCGAAGCTCATTGGCTTCACAATAGTTAAAGAAAAATCTGGTAGAATACCCGGATGTCACTTGGGCCGACGTGCATAATCGGTATCAATAAAAAATCAGGGTTGAAGATGATCAACTCGGGCCCCCTTTCGGGTCCGTTTATCTTGTCAGATCAGTTGATAGAGTCAGGAGAGACATTGATCGTGAACCACAGTCGAACAAGGATCGATATCATCCATACAATGGAGACCAAAGAGGTGGTGGACCTGGGCGAAACCCCGTGAAAAGTAAAAGGAGTGACCGGGGTCAAAACAACCAGGGACTCATGAGCAGAAACAGTTTCGACAGGCCCATCGGGCCGAAAGAAGCGCCAAGACTGTCGGAGTATAACTTTAACGTTAACGTTTCCGCCTTCATATCCTCCATTGGACGTATCAGATCTAGTCCAAAGGGATCCTAACATAATATGCAAATATCATGGCACTCACGGTCACAGAAAGGAAGATTGTCGACAATTGAGAGAGGAAGTAGCTCGACTATTCAATAACGGGCATCTCCGAGAGCTCCTGGGCGACCGAGCCAAGAACCACTTTAGGAACAGAGATTTTGGTAAACAAGCCGAACATGAGGAACCTCAGCACGTCATCTACATGATCATCGGTGGGGTCGATGTTCCCCTAGGGCTGATGCTGCAACGCACCAAAGTATTTATCACAAGGGAAAAATGAACTCGGGATTATGTGCCGGAGGGAACCTTGCCCTTCAATGATAAAGACGCTGAAGAGATCGTGTAGCCCCACAATGATGCATTGGTAATATCAGTGCTTATAAATAAATCTCGAGTTAAGCGTGTATTAATTGATCTAGCTAGCTCGGCCAATATCATGAGATCGAGGGTCGCGGAACAACTCGGCCTGTAAGATCGGATTGTGCTCGCGACCCTAGTCCTAAACGGGTTCAACATGGCATGTGAGACCACTGAAGAAGAGATAACATTACCGGTGAACACCACCGGGACCGTTCAGGAAATAAAGTTCTATGTAATCGACGGATACATGAGGTACAATGCTTTGTTCGGGAGACCGTGGATTCACAACATGATGGAAGTACCCTTGACTCTGCACCAGGTGTTGAAGTTCCTAATGCTGGGAGGAATAAAAACAGTTTATAGAGAAGAACCGGCCACAAAAGAGATGTTCATAGTCGACGAGGTGGTCCCGATATCCACAATTACGACACCAAAGGAGATGGGTCCAGTCACCAAGGGAGAAACCAAATAGCAACTACTGACACCAATTTCGTCCCAACAGAATAAGAAGGAGATGGGCGAGGACGACGACTACGGGGTTCCCATGTCTTTCGTAGCTCCCGATGATTCTGACACTACCAAATCGACAATCGAGGAACTGGAGCAAATCGTATTGATCAAACACTTGGCCGATCGAAAGGTATACCTGGGCATGGGGTTGAATCCTGAGCTTAGGAAAAAATTCATTCAATTTCTTATAGCTAACGAAGATTGTTTCACTTGGTCCCACCTTGATATGATAGGGATCCCGCCGGAAATAACCACTCACAGACTAAGCTTGGACCCGAAGTTCCACCCGGTCGAGCAGAAGAGGAGACCCCAGTCCGAGGTCAAACATGCTTACGTCAAGGACGAGGTATCTAAACTCTTTAAAATAGGATCCATCTGGGAAGTAAAATACCCAGACTGTCTAGCAAACGTAGTAGTAGTCCCTGAATCTTTCCCTTTGCCTAACATAGATCGTATGATCAATGCGACGGCCGACCATGAGATCCTCAGTTTTCTCGACGTCTGTTTCGGGTACAATCAAATTTGGATGGACCCGAGTGATCAGGAAAACACTTCCTTCATCACCAAGTACGACACCTAATGCTATAACATGATGCCATTTGGACTAAAAAATACCGGCGCCACTTACCAACGCCTAGTAAATCGGATGTTCGAAGAACAAATAGGAAAATCAATGGAGGTTTACATTAACGATATATTGGTTAAGTCCCTGTGAGCAGAGGGCCATTTGAAGTATTTGCAGGAAACCTTCAGCATATTGAAAAAATATAATATGAAGCTGAACCCGGAGAAATGTGCATTTGGAGTGGGGTCCGATAAATTCCTCGGATTTATGGTATCCAATCGGGGGATCGAGATCAACCTCGATAAGATCACGTCCAGTGAAGATATCACTGTTGTGGACAACGTGAAGGTTGTGCAAAGGTTAACCGGACGTATAGCCGCCTTGGTTCGATTTATCTCGAGGTCATCCGACAAGAGCCACCGTTTCTTCTCACTGTTGAAGAAAAAGAATAACTTCTCATGGACCCCGGAGTGCCAACGGGCCTTGGAGGAGCTTAAACGATATCTGTCAAGCCCGCCGCTGCTTCACACGTCGAAGACAGATGAACATCTATACCTATACTTGGTAGTATCAGAGATAACGGTAAGTGGAGTCCTGGTCCAGGAGGAGAAAGGTCTGCAATTTCCAATTTACTATGTTAGTAGGACTCTCGGCGAGGCCGTAACTAGGTACCCTCACCTAGAAATGATGGCGCTCGCTTTGATAAATGGCTCTAGGAAGCTAAAACCGTACTTCCAATGTCACCCCATATGTGCCGTAACCACTTACCCATTGAGGAATGTAATGCATAAACTTGAGCTCTCGGTACGGTTGGCCAAATGGGCCGTAGAGATTAGTGGGTACAACATAGAATATCGGCGTCGGACAACAATTAAGTCTCAAATTTTGGCAGACTTTGTGGCCGACTTTGAACCGGCCCTAATACCTGAGGTCGAAAGAGAGTTGTTGTTGAACTTGGGGACCTCTTCGGGAATTTGGACCCTCTTTACGGATGGCGCCTCGAAAGTGAAGGGGTCCGGACTTGGAATTGTATTAAAATCGCCCGCAGGTAATATAGTTAAACAATCTATCAAGACTATAAAATTAACTAACAATGAAGCCGAGTGTGAGGCCATGATTGCAGGTCTCGAACTGGCCAAAAGCTTGGGGGCAGAGGTGGTCGAAACTAAGTGTGATTCCCTCCTCATGGTGAACCAAGTTAATGGGACCTTCGAAGTCAGACAGG